GCCTCGTTTCGAGCTCTCGCTAACACTCTCCTGCTGAGAAAAACATGTCGAAATAAATATCATCATTGACGCACTGCAACACTGCATGTCACTGCCCCAGACGTAACAAGGTATGCTACGAAGATGGGGTCACAGCTACAAATCCACCAGTAGTGACATCACCAGATTTAGCAATATGCGTGGGTGATGTGTGGAGAGTGGAATAAAAGCTCTTGCATCTCACAGAGAAAAATTCTAATCAAACTATGGCAGGGCTACCGCTGGCGTTCGCCACTTTCGCAAAATGCGATGAATAATGATGCATGATGATTTTTGTTGGCTGTATGTGTGGAAGTAACAAAGTACCACATCAGTGCTGCGTTTATTAATGCCCCTGTGTGCGTTAATGGGATTATGAGGATATATAATCAGACTCCTGATATAATGGAGCACATGGTTGGAAACGTGGTTTTGGTAAATGCGTGTCGGTACACGCATACGCCACGTACGTTACAGCATAAAAATACGCAAGAATGAGAGTAATTGCAGCGATATCAAAATGTTTACTGCCAGTTGTATTGTGATCAAACTTTATCGTTACTTGTTTTCTACGCTTCATATGTGTTTTCTTATTATATTTTGATTAATCGTTGTTATGTTTGTGTATTGATTGTGGGTTGTTTAATGGGATGGAAAGACGTTTCTCTCGTTGGGTTGAGTTAGGAAGATATTAGGGTAGTAAATTTTTTTGGAATTATTTAGGTTTAGGTTGAAGTGTAGATCAGCGAGGACGCTGAATCGATGACAGAGTAGTCATCGTTTTGGGGAAAAGGGAGTTAATGTAACATGTGTTTTGCACGTGTTACATGAATTAGTCAGCGAGGCTAGACTAGGGTTGTTTGGTGACCAGCTAGTCTGTGTAGACGCAGCGTCGCGCATATTGGGCGGCTACATTGATGTTACAGGGAGTTGGATAAGCGGGTTTTAGGTCATTGTGAAATGGGGGTAGGACGCGGTCTGGGAGAACGGGTACATGAATGAGAACGTGCAAGATGTTTGTAGGAGTTTTGGGAGGAATATATAGAGGAGAGATGTACAGGGCGTCAAGTGACAAGTGACGCTCAAAAAATAGGAAAATAGGAATTTCAGTTTAAAAATAAAGACTAGACGATCTGCAGCCGGATATCTGCGCGAAGCGCTCAAACGCCGCCTCGCGGCGCACTTTTGCAATTTCGCTGCCCTCTTCCCAACGCCAGTACGCCGGTCCTTTCCTAGGGTTAGGTTAAAGCGGCTTTTCGCTCTCATCTGCAGTTCTGCGCATTGCACGAGGGATCGCACTACCCAGCTAGGTAGA